AACTATGTGACCATGTAGTGTTACATATGGAGAAGATTTTAATAAGAAATTCCCTTACCAACTAATTAAGCAAATATCCAGATATAGAAATTTCATAGAATCATAGGGTTCATTTGATAGCACCCTCTATATTTACTGTGATATAAGTCCAGTTTATTGAATGAGGTTTACTCCCTCAGTCTTATATATGTCTTCTCAGTGGTAGGTCCTACTATATTAAATAAAGTTTCTTCTGCTTTAAACATGCAACAGTCTTAATATCCTTTTATTTCCATTAGCTTACATGCATAGCGATAGTTTGGTTTGTCCAGTAAATAATACAAGGGCATCTTAGGGCCTAATCGTGTGATAGAACTTTTATTTTATACATACAATTTTATTTGCATCTTTGTAGAATAATTTGTAGAGGTATGGGACACACCTCTCACCTGCATTGCTGGAATTCCTGACCTTCTCTTGACTTTGTATATAATTAACCACTGAAGAAAACACTTTACGTAGCTTATTAAATGGGCCATGGCCTATGAAACATATGCTAAAATAAACATCTCAGGCTTTGAAATGCCCCTACAGAACTCTCTCTTACTGATCCTCCTTGATAGCTTGATCATATCTTCCAGACTTTTGTAATATAGTTTAGTACAATGTTTTTTGGCAACTGCTTGTATCTTCTTTCAATAGGCAACTCTGTGGCTACAAAAAGTCTTAGGAGAAGTACTAGCATTCTTCTGCTGGAAACACTTGAAAAGCATACGTTAAAGCTCAGTCACTATATTTACAGCATAGTAACCACAGGAACTCAGAACATTTTGAGGACATATCATAAAACCCTTAAAGTATAGAAAGGGAGTATAGGGCCACATGAAGTGGTACAGAGGTGCTATATTTTGTAATTGCCCTCCTTTAACTAGAATAGATTTAAAAGAAATTAAGTATGGGGTTTATATAAATTATACCACTATAGAACCAATCCACTGAACCTTCAAAGTGCAATTATGTAACAGCATGAAGATAATACTTCTCAAAATGAAACCTTCTGAAGACATACAGAAACATGATTTGTCTTCAAGGAAATTTAATCCCTCCTCTGATACTGGTGATATATTTAGCTTTTGTAAGTACATGAACAGGTGAAGTATTCTGATGTCTCCTCCCTTAAAAAAAGAAAGGTTGAAATGATTTTATATCACCTAATTTATCCTCATTGTTGTATTTATCTTTTTTTTAAAAAAACCATTAATTTATACTATTTTCATTTTATACAAAATAAAAGGGAAAGACAACCGTTGCATATTTTTTCAATTATTGCTAGATTGTCAGATTTATTATGATTAGTTTCTTATTATAAAGGCAAATGTCCTACTGTTTCCTGAAAGTCTATATATGAATATGCTTGTTTCTTCAGAAAAACTGAAAAGAAGTAGGCAATAATGTTTCCTCTTTTCTTTTTAAAGTTGAAGGACACAGTATATTAGAGTAAGTTTGGAATACCTCTTTGGCTAAGACTAGCCCAGTGACTTACAGACTGCTCCTCTGCAAATTTGATTAGCACCATTTTAATACCTTTGAAACTAAGGGCTAATAGGACTTCTTGTGACAGTGAATTCCAGAAATTATCTGTATAATGGAATGATTTATTTTGTCTGTTCAGATTTAACTTGTATAAATTAGATTTGTTCTAATTTTCTCTGTTCAGATTTAACTTGTAGAAACAGACAGGTAGGGATGTCTGTTGGATGAAGTCAAAGAAGTGAAGATGGCAGCCATGCAGTGTGATCAAAGCTCTTATATTCAATCCATGTGGAACTTTGATCACCCCATCACAGCAAACATCTTTTTTTTTCCCCAATAAGGAGTTTTAATGCAAGAATTGGGGCTAAAGTACAGAATAACTGAAATCACAATAGAAATATCCAGCCTTCTTTTCTTAGTGAGTTCAAAAGGTGATGTCTCTTTGCACGTTTTGAATCTCTGCTTCCTGGACTTTTTCTTTATGATAAGCTACCAATCAACTTCTCTTTCATTTTTGGGTTTTTTATGCCTAGAATTTTTCACATTTCTTTTCCAGCGTCCCCCCAATCTCTCAGAGTTAGTGTCTCTGGGGACTCAGTAGCAAGGTTTAGTCTTCCTGTAAGGTTACCAGGACCATGGGAATAGGTTAAGCCTGTCAGTTGGACTCTATAAACTACCTAAAATGGCCCCTTAATCAACCCAGGAGAGCTTAGATTTGTCTTCAAATAGATCTGGCTTTGTGTTATATTAAATTAATACGACTCCCTCTTTGTCATGCAACTATTACCAAGGAATTATTAGACTTCTTCATTCATAAGATCTGGAAAACATTCCTGAAATTCCTCCCCCCCCCTCTCTCTCTCTATATATATAATTATTTTTTTTTCAAATGAAGATAAAAATAAACTAATATAAAGTATGGAAGAAAAAAGAAAAAGAAAGAAATCAAAGAGCAAGAAAGGGAAAAAAGTAAAAGAAAAATAGAAAGAAAAAAGATACAAAGAAGTGATTTCCAATTTTCTTTATAGCAGCTATAAATACAATTATAAATATACATTTCTCTAAAGTTACAACATGACTCTTCTTTCTCTAATCTATCCTGTCTAATCATCAAAACCATAAATCATAATTTCATTTTTTTCTGTTTTACACAAAAAGTCTATAAGGGGTTTGATCACAGCCAACATCTTGATTTTTTTGACCTGCAGACATCTCTGTCAACAGGTCACTTCCAGAACTATGCAAAATTATGCTTAAGCAGATATTGTATGTTCTGCTACCTCTATAATAATAGAGGGCAGGTTGGCTATTCCCTCTGACCTGCTCCAAATTGGCCCAACATGCCTGGCTTGACTGCAAAACAACTTTGAGGAAAATGTGCCACTTCTACTGTATGGCTATGTTGCTACAGAACAAGCCAAAATGTATGGATGCTACTGAATGGCTGTACAAATTATAATTGTACCAGAAGTTCTATCCAATACTTTGAAAATTCTACTGTCTAGCTGGAGGTGTGTTCTCCTAAATAAAAACTCAACTTTTTTGCTAGTTCCTCATTCTTGGGTTTCTCAGTATTTTAAACCTCTGAGTTCTAATTATGTTGTCACAGGCTGGCAAGTTTCATCTCAAAATCAGAGGAGTCAAATTCTAAATCATGGATGTTGTGGCTCCATGAACCTTCTTGAGGTTTCAGCTCAACCCCACTGCTGCTCTAAAATTTGCTGCCAAATTATAATTTTAGATGTGACAAAAAGAAGAAAATATTAACTACATAGGAATAATCATAATATAAGTCATAATCACAATAAATTTGTGCTATTTAATTTAAATACAGTTTAAAGTGCATTAAGAGAGAAGGCTTTATTTTGATCCCATTTGCCTATATTTTAGAGCACTGCTTCTGCATGGTAACTCGAAGGACAAATGTAGGATTGATCCCTAAAATGTGTGAAACCCCATTCTAAAAATTCACATCTCTTTGCCCTGAAATGTGATGCAATGTCATATCACAGTGATGTTGACAGAAGTGAACTTGACTAATCCCTAATTGGAGGATAGCCTCGGCAGATAATAGCCCCTAGCCAAATCTTGGCTAATCTTGGAAGTTAAGCAAGGTTCATCCTTATTAGTACTTTGCAAGGACTGCCTGGGAATTGCTGGTTTAGACTAGGAAAAAAATCACAGAAGAAGCCAGTGGAAACAGTCCCATAACTCTGCCAAGAAAATTGCATGGGTGTTATCACCAGGATCCAATTTAACTCTAGCGTGTTTTCATCCTTACCTTTACTCTTTCATTCTATTGAAGGTTCAGGAATGCCTGAAAGTGTGATAAATAATCTGTATGCTGTCATATCCAGTTAAGAAAAAACTGCTATACAAACTGGAAACTGAAAGGCTTTACTTGTGGAAACTGCCCTGGAAGACATCTTAACAAAAATCTGAGAAGAAGGAAAGGTTGAGAAAGTGGAGAGCAAAAACATACTTCCAGAAAAGACTGTAGAGATTAGTAGCATCCTTCTGCCCTGGTCCAGAAGCAGCTCCACAGCCAAGGAATGACCAAACTAAGGCCTACTGTTGCATTCCAGTCCAGAAATGTATAGCCAGAGACAGGTTTAATCATTCCTCTGGTTGTCACTTAATTACAGGACTCTGCACCCTCTGATGTTTCTGCTTAAAAAACGATTCTAAATTATATCCTTTTCTAAGTTGGTCCTTTTGCTTTGGTGCCTGCTTTTCTCCTTTCTACTAAATAAACCTTGCTGCTTCTTATTTCTAGGAAATTACTAGATGAACATCAACCTGACTCCTTTCAGGGGACTTGGGAAGCACCACACACTAGAAAAGTTTTGGAGCTCTATCCAGAGCCACTGTCAAAGGTTCTAGATACAGCCTGGTCATTACTGGTGCTTTGAACATATGAAGAAATTTCCTATCAAGTGAACTAACTCTGGGTATGGCTGAGCAGTTCATCTCCCAAGCCAGGCCTCCTAGCAGTTCCCAGGTGTTAGCATTTGTACCTTTTGGACCAGTGTTTCTCAACCTTGGCAACTTTACATATGTGGACTTCAACTCCCAGAATTCCCCAGCCAGCCACTCTTAAAGGTGCTGAGGTTGAGAAACACTGTTTTAGACAGTTTTCTGGCTGGTCCAGATGTCTAGCTCAGTCCTGTTCCATATGCCATTCCACATATCCCACATTTGTGGATCTAAATTAAGCTGAATGAGCTCTCCTTTTCCTCTTCCTATATAACTTTGTATGTCTGGAAGTGCCACATTCCTGACCTCTGATTAAACAGCAAACTGAGCACACAGACAAGCCCATGCAGCAAAAATAATTACACTAGAATCTTTTACATCCTTTTTCCCTATCATTCCCTGTCTCCAGCTCCAACGAAATATCTTCAGTTGTTTTAGATTTGACTTCACAATCAGGTATCTGTATTCATTTGGCCAGTGAAATTCTTTAAGATGTGTTAAAATCACCTTACCTTTTCTATTATCAGAGTCCATTGAGTGTCAAGGGCAAGCTACATATTACACAGGAATCCAACGACTACAAGCCTTACACATTTTGATTTTGCAAGATTAGCCACCAATGGAGGAGGATCTTTGGGCAGGACCTGAGGAGTTATAAGAAAAAGAATGAGAAAAGGATTTCATACATTGCCACCAACACACAGTAGTCTTGGCCAAACTGACCTTCTTGCTGAGGTAGATAAATAGCCAATGTTCAGCAACAGGACGTGCCAAAGGTTTCATATTCTGTCTTCAGAACTGAAAAGAATCTCATTCAGAAGTCCTGGAGGGTTGCTGCCAGTGAGATACAAACTCTTTTTGTTGTTGTTGTTTTGGCAACCTTCCTTTATTATATTGCCAAAACTACATTAGCTAATCACCAAACATGGGCAATGCAATTTCCTGGGGATTTCCAGCCAATAAGAGGTGTTAAACTTTTGGATAGTTTTAGTGTGCCTTAAACTAGCCTGAAACCAAAACCAAACCAAAACGAAATGAATATCCTGTTGTTGTTTTTAAAGAAAAAAATGTTTCCTTCTTTTTCATGTCATGACATGATCACACCACTCCCCAACTGCTAAGATAATTGTTTTAAAAAATTGCAGAGGCAAAAGGCCCAGGTAGTTGGCAGTACCTATGCTCTTTGCCTGATCTCAAGAAAATGAAACTGGATCAGATCTAATTAGGATGAGCAACTACCAAGAAATCGCAGAATTGTGGGATACATTGGAAAGTCTAAAAATATCCTCACAGAAGGCAATGGCAAAGTGGTTATGTACTAGAGCAAAGAAAACTAGTCCATGAAGTCACCAGGAGTCATACTGACATTAAGACACTTATCAGTGACAGACTACTGAGCTATATGGAACATACTTTCTTCTCTCCATGGTTAAGAACATATTTGGGGGATTTAGGTCCCCCCACCTTAGCAAAAGTAGACATTATTTACTTTGGCAAAGGAACAATTTAAGATAATGTGGTATATTAAGAAAGTTCTATCTTGGATGTTTTGTCATTAATGGCCTATTAATGTCTTGACACTGTACTGTGCATAGATTTGTGACCCGGTGCCACAATATTCATAGATGTAAATACATGCTTTCCAGTGAGAGATACTTAATGCTATTAAAACACTCATTTAGTTAAATGCCTCATCGGAAACCAGCAATGCATTGTCATGTGAAACTATATTCAAGATTCATTTGGGACATATTTAACATACCTTCAAAAGCAGAGTGTAAACTTTTATTGTGCATCTGTGTTTGCAAGGGAGGTAGATGGAGGCTTGCTCATACAAGCAAAGAATTGCACTTTAAATATTGTCCTATCTATTTAAGGGGGAAACAATAGATTGTCATAACCTGACACATTTATCTTCTCAAGTCTGTGTGAGTTTATAACTTTGGGGAGCTATTTATCATCATCACAGTTTATGAAAATCCTTTGTAGCTTTGCCATAAATCATAAGACAAGGGGAAATGTGTTACTTCTATTTAGAGAAGAGCCCTTGGCTGGATTCTCTTGGGAAATGAGACTTCTAGTGGTAAGAAAAGTCTTTGACATCTCCTACAGATGGCAATATGAACAATATATCATTCATTTTGCCCACTAAGACCCATTTTTGATGGCTTTGGTATTGGGACCAAAGAGGGCAAGAACTTTCTCAATCAAGGCTCTACAGAACTTCCCTATAATCATTTCTGCCTCTTACAGCAGCCTTCAGCTGTTTTTCTAAGATACAACTTAGAACAGAGGAGTCAACAACCTTCTTAGCTATTGACCAACTGCCTCCCCCATAGATGTACTGGGGAAATTTATTTTGGGTTTTTTTTTTCTGTGCCACCCCCAGCCAAGTCTGGCCCATTTTCAGACTAAATCTTTCTTTTGCTGGCTTCATGAACCAAATCTAAACCAAATGGTACAAGTATGTTCCATTTTGAGAGGGTTAGCCTGCTGATGAACAAAATCCTGACCCTCCTTCCATCATTTCTTTCCAACATTCCATGGGACTGGAAAGAATAAAAACTGCAAGAGATTTATCTCAAGTACAAAGGCACCCTGTACATGACTAGTTGAAGGACTATTTGGCAGGCTTCTTTCATTAGCAAGAAGTAGGAAAACATGATATGTAAATGAAGGTTTCCTCAACAAAAGATAAGCAGCTTGTCAAATATAGTATTGAAAACCACACTTCAGTATAAATTAATGAATGAATTCACCTTATTACATTCTCTAACAATTACAACTTGAAATAAATAAAAATCTACTAAATTCCCAATAACATTCTCATCAAAAGCACTATACACAAACACAAAATACAGCTAGATTCTAGATTTTATTTTTATGACATAGGAAGCCTACACAGTATGGCAAACATAAGACCACACCTATTAGACAGAACCCTCCTTATGTCAAGTCTATATTACCAATAAACCAAGCTTGCTTTAGTTAGATGGGAGGCCATATCAGATCCTACCATTGTCTGCCTTCATTTTAGCAAAGTTACTTTGCCCTGAGGGAACTTGCACACGCCTCCTTTCAACAAGCACAATAGGAGTTGTGTTTCCTCAGGCTTGCCTCTAGCAGAGTTCTTCTTGGGCTGCCATGTAAAAAGGTTTATTGGTACTTCACCTCAAGCTACAGGAAAACATTGCTTATTTCTAAACCTTCACAGCAGCTTGTGGAATTGAGCATATCTAATGGGCATATTGGAGACTTTTGTTAGGGCCTTGTAACATGCATTCTCCAATATTCCTCTCCTTTCAACATTCACATTCAATAAGAGCGAAATCTCTGATCTTGCCCGAAAATATCAACCCAGATTGCTCATAGCAGTTAAAAGAAACTATAATAACATAAAAGAAGAAACTGCTTCTTTTATGTTGTTGTCCACCTAAGAAACTAGTTCAGCGGGTGGAAACAACTAGTTCAAAAACTCAGAACGGATGGCCCTGATGAGTACTTTGATAGGGGACTGACTGTTAATTCCAGGGACTGTTAGCTAGACTGCAAAGTTAAGGGGGGGGAAAAAGGTTCCCAGGAAAAGGCAGTGGCAAACCTCTTCCACATTGCTGCCAAAAAAACTGCCTGAATATGGAGCTCATCATGAGGGTGTCTACCTTACCCTGCCTAAGATGGCATGGTCAGGTTTAGCCCTAATTCAAGGATGGCGGGCAAGATGATCATTTCATTTAATTGATCTCTATTACTCTGGACTACTTCTTCACCATCTGTTCTCCTCTATAATTGTGAAAGTAAAAAAAAAATAACACTTTTAAAATTTGATTGCTCAGATATCTAATATAAAGTGACTTTAAATGCTATGAGCATTGTCTGTAGCAGGCAGAATCCACCAGCAGTGTTGGCTTCATGATTTAGATGTGATTTGAACTGGTGGGAAACATGTGCCTTAGATTTTGTCTTTACCTTATTAAAACCCACTTTGCCTCCACTCCAGTTATTTTTGGATTATTAGCTTAACCATTTATCAAAAGCAGGCTTATTGAAACATGCGAATTGTAACCCTATATTTCTTGTTGTTTAACGGACAGCAATACAATTTAGCTTTCCTCTCCTGGAATCACTTCTTTACTATTTTCTAGCACCGTGTAAATACAAGATCCTGAGGACAAGAATGTGTGTGTATTGGGGGTGGGGTGGAGGGGAAGAAAGATGTATTAGCATGTGTTTTTTTTTTTTAATTCTTATCTTTAACTCTGTTCTCTAGCACTAAGAAATCATTTAGCGCTCATTTGACTACTTCAGTTTCTAGTTAAAGCATTCCTTACGACAATGAGCAAAGTTAGCTCTTAAGAGCTGAGTGATGGCACAAGATACTTCCCTTTAATAAATATAAATCAATACCATGCATTCTTTAACTTGTGGACTTCAGAAAAGAACCCTTCAAAGTGATTCTTAGGAGCTCTGAAAAAAAGGTGTGGATTGAGTACCCAGAGCAGCAAAAACAGACTTTTCCTTCATGCTCTGGGTGATTCATCATCAAACAATAACTTGGCTCAATAAGAACTTATAGAAGATAGATAGGTCTACTGCAGTGCTCCAAGAACAGAACTGGAAAATGAACCTTGCTTCATCCTGAAAAAGTCTCAGTAACAAGTCCCCCCCCCCCATTTGACCAATTACAGGGGTCAGGGTTAGTGATGTTGATAATGGAGGTTCTCCCTCCATTTCTTTCCCAAAAATGTACACTATGGCATGGAAGATGGTGACATAGCATTTGATCTTCTAAAATTGACAGATATCTTTTTTCCCCTGTGTGATCTTGCATTTCTCAGCTTGAAATGGTAATCTGTGGGTTCCGTTTTATTGCCTATTCTGTTTTCCTCTGCAGCAATTCACATACAGTAGTGTAAAAGGAAGACTGACATTCACAAAACTGAAAGGGCAATTTCTAAGTTCTCTGACACTGAAAAATTGAAGCGTGATCCATTTCTCCCAAAGGTGGGATGAAGATGGGCAATGTTTTAACATAAAAATCAATGGGAATATTCCATTTGGCTATAATTAGGATGTCTGGTAGATACTAATCAAGAAAACAGGTAGATGAATTGATTTCATCTTTATTATTTTCCCAACAAGTTTCTGCAACCTATTGCTCCATCAGGTTAAGATTTTTTTTTTTACGCGCACAAACATTGATACATTTTTATATGCAACTTTCCCTTGTATATTTTCTTTCATGTGCTTTCCCACCAATATATGTCACATTTTTGTCCACTAGGTTGGCATGCATTTAAATGGAGACCAAACTAAGTTCTCCTCCATCCCTAGTTGTAAAGCTGGTAGACCTTCTATCCTCCTGAGAGTTGTACCAGACAGGAGAGTGAGACAATTGTGACAACTAAAATAACACCCTGGCAAACAAAACTAGAATGCCACATGGCTCTTCAAAAAAAGTCCCAAAAAGCTTTGGCAGACAGAAGCATCAAAGAGCCTCGTTTAGATGCTGTTCAGAGAACAGAACAATCTCTGATAGCAGCTACATTTAGCTTAGAACAAAATGCTACCATGTGG